AAAGCAAAGTGGAACAAAACCTTCTTTGTTTTGACGCTAAAAATTACTGAATAAAACCAGCTCTCTCCTCCCTGAGGCACTCGAACGCCTCGCTGGCGCACACAAAATGGCCGGGAGCCCCGGTGGCCACCTGCTGGGCTGGGGGCGGAGCTCCTACCTGGACTGTGCATGTTGATGTAGCAGAGGAGCTTCTCCCGGCCCCTCGCCGGCCCGCTCTCGGCCCGCCCGCCCTCCTGCCGCTCCATGAGGCCGTTAAAACCTCCCCGGCCTGCGAAACGACTCGGGTTTGAGCGGCAGAACTTGGGGAGACGGCGTGGGTTACATCCTCATCCCCCCTCTGGGCTCCTCCTGGGCTTCCTGGGAGGCGCTGGGATATGCAGGGTGTCTCCTCGGACTCCTCAGAGCACCCGACCGGCCGGCTGGTTTTCAGCGTGGAGCCGTTTGGCTCTTCTCCCTCTCTCCCTGCCTCCCCCCTCAAAGCTCGGGAGAGCAGCTTGGAGATGTGTGACATCACCGCCGGAGCCGGCCAATCCCGGCATGGCAGCGGCGTCGCCGGGGCAACGCCCCCCTCCCCTCCTCTGCTGCATCTCAGGGAGGATGGATGAGGTCATCGTTTCTGACCGGCTGACTCAGAGTCACAGCGACTGAATGAACAGGAACCTGACCCATATCTTTAAATCCGGGAGGATGACCACCAATTCCTGCTCACGGGAGGCTCTGCACCCACTATATCCCACCAGAAACAGCTCTATCTCGGCCTTCTGAGGGAGGTTTCTGAGGGTTTCCCTCTAAATCCAAACATCCTGGAGCTCAGCCTCTACAAACCAGCGTCGGTCAGGGACCGAAAGAAGCCATAAACCACGAGTACAAGACCCGAAACGGGCCCCAGAAGACAAAAACGTGGCCTCGTCCAATCAAAAGGAAGAGCCAAAGACACAGCAGCACCTCCACCGTCCAATCAGACCTCTGTAACCATCTGGAACTGAGCAGGAAATGCTGAAAAAACCTCAGAGTGGGTGGGTTTGTGAGCCTTACCTGGAGCAGCCTGGTTCATGTTCAGCTCGCTGGTTATCAGCACCTCCAGGACCTGAACCAGGGGATCCAGACCGGATTCAGACCTGCCCACAAACAGAGACGGAGTCAGGATTTACCTAATAAATTCAGCTTTAGTTTTGTTTAAAACACCCAAAGGGATACAAACAGGTTCTCTCTAAAAAAGATCAAACTAAACCTGAATGTTTCAACTCGTTTTCAATCACAGGAAGGAATAAAAAAAATATCAAGACTTTGATGAAATGTTCACAAAAAGCTAAAATCAGACTTTTTAAAAAAAAACACCCGATCAAACTTCTGATCAAACAAACGTTCGAACACCTAATCAAATGTCCGATTAAACATCTTATCAAACGTCTGATCAAACAAACGATCAAACGTCTGATCAATCGTCTGATAAACTCCCTTTTGTCTTTCTCAGAGTGTTTTCAGCCCTCTTAAAAGCCGAGGATCTGTGTTTTTAACTGCCTGCATGTGGACCCATGGGAGCCCCGGTGTCCCAGCGGCCCCTGAACGCCCCCCAGAGGATTAGAGTGCTGGTACTGACCCGGTGGCGGCGGCGGCGGCGGGCTGCCTGAACAGCAGCGGGCTGAAGACCTCGGCCAGGCCCCGGGGGCCGAGCTGGGCCCGCAGCAGGCAGAGGCGGGCCAGGTGCCGCACCACGCTGAGCAGCGTCAGCCCGTACTGGGCGGGGCAGGCGGGCGAGCCGGCCACGCCCCGAAGCACCTGGGCGCAGTCCTCCGGGTCGCGGACCTCTGCGGAGGGAAGCCGGACGTTAGCGGGCAGTTAGAAGACCGTTAGCGGGCTGTTAACGGGCCGATAGCAGAACGTTGGCAGGCCGTTAGCGGACAAGACCGTTAACGGATGATAGCGGACCGTTAGCTGATCAATAGCAGATCGTTGGCAGGCCGTTAGCGGACAAGGCCGTTAGCAGATAGATCGCAGGTCGTTAGCAGACCAGACCGTTAACGGACCAGACCATTAGCAGGCCATTCGTGGGACTTTAGCGGGTTGTTAACAGGCCGCTAGAGGACAAGACCGTTAGCAGCCCGTTAACAGACAACACCGTTAGCAGACCAGACCGTTAGCGGATTGATAGCGGAT